CTCCTACCTGGAAGGGAACTACGTATATAGATGGTAGCAGCTCAATGTTTTGTGTTTTAAGTTGCATCTTGGCTTTAAGAAATCAACCTGAGTTCATTAAAACTGTTTAGTCACATCTGATTCTCTAATATGATATCCTAGTCGAAGCCTTAATAATATACCCAGTGTTTCCAATTATGTCCTGTTATAAGGAGGGAGCAGATGTTTTTTCTTTATCTGCTTTTTTTTTTTAGTATATGTTTATTATACATAATGAATACATTCATCTTGGGAGGTGGTACATGTACATATCACATCTTAATCCTTTTTACTTCCCTTTCTCTCCCTACCCTCTCCTTCTCCCTGAATCCCCTTCCCATCCCCATTGTTTCCTATCATCTCTAATTTGCTCTTTAAATAATTTATACTTTGGGTTTCTCATGAGAGAAACCTGCATCTTGATTTATTTCACCTAGTATTATGCTCTCAAGATGCATTCATTTTCCTACAAATGACTCAACTTTATCTTATTTATGGCTGAGTAGTACTCCATTGTGTACATACACCACATTTTCTTTATCCATTTATCTGTTGATGGACATATAGGCTTCTTCCAATATTTAGCTTTTGTGAGTTGTGCTGCTATAAACATGAGTGTGCAGGTATCACTGCAATAGGATGTTTTTAACCTTTTCAGGAAGATATTCAGAAAACATATAGCTGAGTTGAATGGAATTTCTAGTTTTACTTTTCTGAGAAATGTCCACAGTTTCCATAGAGGTTGTACTAATTTTCATTCCTACCAACAAGGTAGAAGGGTTCCTTTTTCTCCACAGCCTCAGCAACATTTGTTATTGTTTGATTTCTTGATGATTGCTACTCTTTCTAGACTAAAATAGAATCTCACTGTTGTTTTAGTTTAGCCATTTCTCCAGTAGCCTGAGATGTTGAACATTTTCTTTTACGTTTATCGACCATTTGTACATTATCTTCTGAGAAATATCTGTTCATTTCATTTGACCAGTCCCCCTCACACACATACCAGTGATCGAGCTCAGGACTTTGCGCCTGCAAGGCAGGTACATCACCACTGAGCTAAATCCCCAGCCCTCAGTTACCCAATTTTTGATTGGGTCTTATATTTGGAGGGAGGATCTAATTTTTTTTAGTTCTTTATACATTCTAGATATTACTCTTCTCTCCGAGGAATAGCTGGCAAAATTTTTTTCCCATTCTGTAGGTTGTTTCTTCTCTCTGTTGGTTTTTTCTTTGCTATGCAGAAGCTTTATAATTTGATATGACCCCATTAGTTGATTCTTACTGCTATTTCTTGTGCAACTGGGGTTCTGTTCAGAAAGTCCTTGCCTGTGCCTATGTCTTCAAGAGTTTTACTTATTTTATCTTGCAGCAAATTGTTTCTGATTTAATCTCTAGATCTTTGATTTTTTAATTTGATTTTACTGCAGGGTGAGAAATATGAGTACAGAGTCCATCTTCTGAATGTAGACAGCTAGTTTTCTCAGTACCATTTATTAAAGGGGCTATCTTTTCTACAGCTTATAATTTTTGCTTCTTTGTCAAAGATCAGATGGCTGAATGTTCTTGGGGTTGTTTCTCAATCCTTTATTCTGTTACATTGGTCTATGTGTCTGTTTTCATGCCAGTGCTATGCGATTTTTATCACTATAGGTTTGGAATATAATTTGAAGTCTGGAATTATGATGCCTCCTGCTTTGCTATCATTGCCCAGAATTTCATTTGCTATTCTGGGTCTCTTCTGGTTTCATGTAAATTCTAGGATTGTTTTTTCTAGGTCTTTGAAGAATCCTTTTGGTATTTATATCGACATTGCATTAAATCTGTACTATCCTGTTCATAATATCCATTTTGACAATATTGGTTCTGCCTATCCAGAAACAGAGGATGTCTTTCCATTTTCTGATGTCCTCTTTGATCTCCTTTTTCAGAGTACTGTACTTTTTTTTTTGGTACCAGGGATCGAACTCGGGTCCTTGCCACTTGCGCAGCAGGCGGTGAAACCACTGAGCTAAATCCCCAGCCCCAGCAATTGTTTTCTTTTAGGGTGTGAAAAACTTTGCTGCAAGCTTTCCTGGACCTTAAGGTTTGTGCTAAGCAATCTGCTATAATTCTGATAGACCTTGTGGATAACTTACTGTTTTCCTCTAATAGCTTTTAAGATTCTCTCCTTTTCTTAAATCTCTGGGATTTTGATTATCGTGTCATGGAGAGGTTCTTTACTGGTCATGGCTATTTGGAGTTCTCTGTTCCTCTTATAACTGAATAATGAATTCTTTTCCTAGTTTGGAAAGTTTTCTGCTGTGATTTCAGTGAATAAATTTTTTATACCTCTTGAGTCATCTTCTAATTTTTCCTTTATTCTATAATCCTGATTTTTTTTAAAGTTATCTAGCAGCTGTTGGATCTAGCTTGTGTGGTATCTTGTTTTTAGGGGAATCATTGAGTTTATGATTTACTACATCTGTCTTGTCTTCAGCTTTTGGTGTTTTGTTTTTTTTTTTTTTTTTTGGTACCGGGGATCGAACTGGGGACCTTGTGCTTGCAAGACAGGTGGCGGACCCACTGAGCTAAATCCCCAGCCCCTTGTCTTCAGTTTTATGACATTCTGTCATGCTTTCTCTTGAATTTTTTACCTTGTATTTATGTTTGCTTTCTTTCATGATTTCCAGTTCTTTACCAAACTGATCATTTATATCTTGTCTTTTTCAACTTAATTAGGTTATTATTTATTTCTTCTTTAAGCTCACTGAACATTTTATTAGTAAAATCCTTTATCTGTTATTATACATACCATATTTTTTGATCAGCTTTTGTAACATACCTGAGACACATAAACATACAGACAGAAGCAGTTCATCTAGCTTTCACCATGTTTTAACCATGTTCCTGGTACAAATTGACTACAAAGCTTAAAAAAAATCTAGTTTTTTGTTTTTTGGGATTTTTTTTTGGTACCTGGGATCAAACTCGGGTCATTGCGCTTGCACAGCAGGTGGCAAAACCACTGAGCTAAATCCCTGGCCCCAAAAAATCTAGTTTTATAGATCTGGGGACTGAGAGTGTGGCTTATCAGTAGAGCACATACTTGGCACACATACAACCCTGAGTTTAATTCGTGTACCAAACAAGCAAAATATTTGCCTCTTGTAAGGAATCTTTTCTCATTTAGTCTTTTAGTAGCTTCTGCATACAAATAAAAAACTGTAACCCATGGTCTCTAAAGCACTAAGATTCCTTTTTTCCAGTGTCCCATAGATGGACAGTTTTAGCTAAGTTAAACTTTCCCTTTATGGCCACCATAATTCCAAATTGGTTTTGGTAAGGCTTTATCCATTTCTCTGTAAAAGCGTAGGTTCTGAATTTATATTGTGTATACATAAAATTAGCTGGAGTATGAGATGGAGACGTTGTAACCTCATTGAATTCAGATGAACCCACAGTTCCATCTTCCCAAAACTTTATCACTGGAAAGCCCCTGCAGCCCCCAGTGTAGTTTATATCAGACTCAGTCCATCTTACAGATAAAGTCTAGAACAAAAATGCTCCAAGATGGAGAACTCAGGTTTCAGAGCCAGATCAAAGAGGGACCTGTAGAAGACATCCTCCATGAGAGTATATGCAGCACGAAGCAGTGAGCATGAAGAGCTCAACAGGGCACCTGTGCCTGGCTTACTCATTACTCCTAGGGGTTATCATTGGGATAACCCCTTCACTTCTTTCTTCTAACACCAGAACTGTTAAAAGATATACTTAGGTACATTCAAATTTTAATACATTAATTTGAACATTCAGCCCAACTTCATGAACTGAGCAACACCAGACCACTGATGGTTCAGGGCTTCATCAAAGTGGCATGAGAGGAAAGTTAAAAGGTGGTTTTTCTTTTTTTTTTTTATTCATTCATTTTATTGGTACATTTTAGGTATATGACATTCATTATTGGGAATTTGTACCTTTACATAATGTATCTTAGTTCTTATTTTAAAAGGTGTTTTTATAAAGCTGTGTGAGAATCAATTCAAATTAAAAAAACTCAACCGATTAAAATGGAAATTCCCCAATTAGAAGTTTTTGGTTGGTAGTCTGTGATTAGATTAGTTGGTGTGTTTTGATTGGTTAGGCTTAAGTTCTGTCTTATTGTTTACATTGAGTGGGTGTCAATTTGTTCATACTGAAATTTAAAGTGCTAGAGTCATCTCAGCATAAAGGCCTCCTAAGTAATTTTTTTACATTTATAAATAATATTAAAAAATTTAAGTGCTTTTTAAACATAAATATCTCAGTTTTTATAATTAAATCAAGACTATTTGGAAAAAGAGAAGAGTTAACATTCCCAGTCTCAAAAAATTCTACCCCCACCCTTCCACCTCTCTTAATACGTAAACATGACAAATCAGTTGAAGTTCATTTTTTTTAAATACTTACCAAGGAGTTAGAGAAACTCAACTAATAATGTAACATTATGCTAGATATTTTTAGACATTAATATAATTTCTCACTACATTACACATTATACTGATAATTATAAATAATATAAAGTGTGCGCTTATATATTTTTTAGAGCTTTATGTAAATCACTTCATTTATTTCTTACTATGCTGTGTTTTAAAGATCATTATTTTCCTTTTATAGGAAAGAAATAGTATCAAAGAGATTAAGTTTGCTAATACAAAATAGTTAATAGTACAGTGAAGAATTAGTAGTCATTGTTTGGTAATATTCCTCAGTGAAACAGATAACATATTTTATATAACAGGTCAGTTGGCATAACTTTCAGAAATGATTTTTTTCTTTAGCATGGCATTCAAAACTTTCTGTAATTTGACATTTTTTAGAAAAAAATGTGTAAATTTAAACATTAATAGTATGGCTGATTTACTTCTTAGTGGTTCTACCATAAAGATTTCCCCATTGGATTAAGAAATAAATTTTCCCAAAGATTCTTAAAATAACTTTACAGTTTTTGTTATCTTTTACTGCAGATCTGACTGGAGCTCAAGATGGGAGTGTCAGAATGTTTGAATGGGGCCATTCTCAACAAATAGCCTGTTTTCGATCTGGTGGTAATTCAAGAGTTACAAGAATGAGATTTAACTATCAGGGGAATAAGGTAGTATTATAATATGTAAATGGTAAAGATGGTTGATTGTGTTGGAGTTCTATAAATATCACTAGTTTGAGTTCCTGAAGAAAAGAGCTTAATGGGCTAGTAGTAAAGTATTAATCTATATGATTTCTGTCTTTTTAAAAATTCTCAAAGAACATTTAAATTCATTTGGTTCTTCCTACAAGTATATTTAATATATAAATTACATATTTTTCATTAAAATTAAATGTTGCTTAAGGGCCACATGATTATTATTTTACATTATATTAAACATTTTTGATTAGTAAATGTCAATTTCTTTATCCCTGGGAACCTGCTCAAAGTGTGATCCAGCACCATTGTTACTTCATTAATTAATTCCTTTCTTTGCACTTTTCCCACTGCAACAGCAGAGTTCAGGAAGACAAAGACCTTATAGTAGGGAAAGCCTGAAATATTTATTATATGACCATTTAAGAAAGTTTGCTGACCCTGCTCTGGTACATCCCTATTTTATTTCCTGTATTCCTGTTTTCTTCATATTGCCTCTCTGTCCTCCTCATATCTGAGTAGCACTTTAGGCAGTGATTAAATAAATAGTAAATCAGCCTGTTCTCTGTCCTCAGAATCATACTCCATTAAAAATTATTCAGACAGGGCCCGGGATTTAGCTCAGTGGTGCCACCACCTGCCTCACAAGCGCAAGGTCCCGAGTTTGATCCCCAGTACCAAAAAAAAACAAAACAATTAAACAAACCCTAGCTGATGGTACATCTTGCCTTTTCTTTCCCCTCAGTCTTCCAACATGTAATTCTCCTCAGATGTTACTTATATCATTGTGTGCTTCAAATTAGTATTTTTGTCACAAAGATCTACAGTGGTACCTCTGTTCATGAACTTAATTTGTTCTACAATTTTGGAAAGATGGCATGTTTGTGTTTGGGTGAGAAAGGTCATTTGTCACCCAACGCAGAGTTTGCAAACAAAACCAAAATTTTCCCAGATGCTCTCTTTGTGAACCAAATTGTTTGCAAACAAAAGCAATGTGAACCAAGGTAAGACTGTATTTGCATTTCACAGAAGTCAATATTGTTTCATTTAGTTAAAAAACCAAATTTTTGGCCTGGGCATAATGGCACACACTTGTAATCCCAGCACTGGGGAGGCTGAGACAGGAGGATCACTGGGAGTTTGAGGCCAGCATGGGCTACACAGTGAATTCAAGGCCACCTGAATTACAAAGCAAGACCCTGTCTCACCCCTCCCCACCTAGAATTTGAAACCTTATGTTTTTAATATCACTTAGTGGTATACTTTGTTCTTTAGTGGGAATTTAAAGAGGTGGTTTAGTAAAGAAGCCTTTATAATTTGACTGTACTGATTGAGTGTTCTTAATCTGAAAATCTGTAAGTGTTCAAAAAGTTTTGGACGTCAGAATATTTCAGATTTTTAGATTTGGGCTACTCAACAATATAGGCTGTGCAAATATTCAAAATTAAGAAAGACTACAGACTGAGACTGGAACGTGGCAAATTTGAGCCCAGACTTAGTAAAACCCTGCCTCAAAAAAAAGAAAGAAAAGAAAAGTATTGGGGATATTGCTCAGTGCAAAGGCTTTGGGTGTATTTCCTGGATGGAAAGGAAAAAAAAAAAGAGTTCTAAAATGTGAAACACTTCTGTTCTCAAGTTTTTCAGATAAGTGATTCTCAACCTGTATTGTCAGTTGTGTTTCCTATTAATGTCCTTTATGTGTTCATATTTTCTATTTTGGTTATCAGTATTTTATTTCTCCTGCTAGTCTCTGTAACTCAATCCTTATCTCATTAATGCACTACCTTGTCAACAAAGTTCTATAACAAGAAAAATAGTTCCATTACTACAATATGGGTGTCATTTTTTTTCAAGAATCTTTTCAGGACACCCATGTCATTCTTTAGTATGGTATTTGAGACCTACATCTTAATTTTTTGCTTTAATATTCACAACAGCCTTACTTGTAGGCTACTTTAAGACACAACAAACTAGTCTTCTTGGCCTTTCCAAGAATCTTGACAGGCAGCCAACTTTCTTTACATTCACGTTAGCTGTGATGGATCCCAGTGGCACAACACTTAAGCATAGTATCTCCCTTAATAGGGAAGCCTACCGAGTAAATGGTAGACATGACTCACACTGTATCACAGGAATGTTTTATGAATTACAAAAAGAAATTAGCAGCCCAAAGTCAGTGAACATTTTGGGAAAACTAAGAGTGGAAAAAGGAGCAGTAAGAAGCACAAGTGTCCTGTGAGGAACAGTTCTTCAGAGAGGTTCAGGAAAATACTGCATTAATAAAATAAGAACAAGCTGGTGTGAAACAAGGACATTAGGGCAACAGAAAAGAGTTCTTGGAAATTAGAAACTTGATTCTCAAAAGTGGAGTCTGTAAGTGAACTACTCATCACACTGGCTGGAGAGCAAAACACATAGTTAAAATGAAGTTAAAATTAGGAAACACATTAAGAAATTATCCCATAAAATGTCTAAAGAAATGTTTCAGAAAAAGAATCAAAAAAACAAGGAATAAGCACTAGTCAAATGAATAATAAATATTTCCCCAAAACAAAGAATAGAACTTTTTAAGAGAAAGGGCATTCCAAGGGCCAGGAAGAAGTTTTGAGAAACATCATATATCTTCACACATTCTGGTTACTTGAGGATTTTTTTGGTTTATTTAATTAAAGAATAAAGATAATCCTATAAGCTTCTAGGAAGGAGTAGTGGTATAGGGGCTACTTAACCTTCCTCTTTCAAATAAATGGCATTACATTACAATTAAACAGAGTAATATCCACAGGATTCCAGTGTACAAAGAATGGAACTGAGTTGAAGTCCATTCAAACTCTCATTCAAATATGATGACAAATAATATTTTTAGGTATATATTTTACATGTATCCCCTCTCTGAAGAACATACATATTCTACTCCAGAAACAGGATAAATTAGGAAAATAAATAAACTCCAGAAAAATACCTGTAAAAAATATATAGAAACAGTAGGTTATCATTCCTAATATTAACTATATGCAGTTTTTGAGAAGGTGTCGTAGGGCCAGGGATTTAGCTCAATGGTGCCGCCGCCTGCCTCACAAGCGCAAGGTCCTGAGTTCCATCCCTGGTACCAAAAAAAAAGATATTGTAATAAAGATGTAGACAAAGACTATAAAAAATTTACCAAAAATCTATTTTTAGTCAATAACCCTTACACTTTGAGAAATGCAAATTAAAGTAAAACTTTTTCCAGTGTAAAATTGACAAATATTTTAAATTTTAATAATAGCCAGTGTTACCCAATGTGTAAGAAAAGAATGAGTATTTAAATTCATATCACTTAAGATTTAATTATGCTGGGCCGGGGACTTAGCTCAGTGGCCCCTGCGCCTGCCTCGCAAGCTCAAGGTCGGTCAATTTTTTTTTTATCTTTTTCAAAATGAACAGGTTTCTATCCTATGATAAAGTTTTATTATATAACTTAATGAGTATTCCAGTATTCTATTTTCAGAGTACTCATAGAGAATATTCAGATGATGCTGTAAGTTTCTGAAATTAAATGGGTATCTGGAATCCTTTGTCTACCCTGGAATTTTAAAATAAGTAGCTAAATGCTTTTTTAAAAAATTAGATCCATGCATATGTGAAATGGAAAGTCAATATATCAATTAAATGTTTAAGAGTGAAAATATGAGTGTCATAGTAAGGGTAAAAATAAATATGTGCTTTTGCATTTATACTGAGCATTTCAATTTCTTTTTTAAGTTTGGAATAGTTGATGCTGATGGATATTTAAGTTTGTATCAAACAAACTGGAAATGTTGTCCAGTTACGGGGAGCATGCCAAAGCCATACCTGGTAAGTCAACACTTTCTACCAATAAATAAAATTCAAATTTTTATTGTAAAGAAACAATATATTTGATGCAAGAAATATTTAAGTGAATAAATAAAATCCCTGTGTAGTCTTATGTTTTCAGTTACTTTACTACAGACCCCATCCTTGTGTTATGTGAAAAGTGCTCTGTGGAGCATATAAATCCTATGTCTCTGGTAATTTGGTAGCATGGTGCCTTAAGAGACATATGCAACATTACTGGTACCCTTTTCTAACCTCACCAAACTGCTATCAGTTTTCTACCTAAATAGAATGATTAATCGACCATTGGGTCTGATTATTTTTCCACAGTTAGCCCTTATCAACAAATTAGAAAGGACATTCTGTAGTTATTATTTTCTTGCTTATCTCATTTTTTACAAAATATAAATATGTCTGTATTCAGAGCTATGAAAACTTAATAAACTTAGGGCTCCAGCAAGTCCCTTTAGAACTGAGCAATACCTATCAGGGTGACGTTAAGAATATAGGTTATGATCTGGTAATTCACCCAGTGTTAAATGCTAGAATACAGTACTGACCTAAGTGAAAACAAGCTACCAAGGGAGGGTTGATTAGGATACCTTGAAAAAACATAGTTTTTTTTTTCTCAAATTTTCATTAAACCAACAGATTTAAATGTGCAAGTTTATATTCCCTGACAGAGTGCCTTTATAAGTCTAAAATAATCTAAAACCCCAATTTCTGTCTTCTAAGACAAAACTTTTTACTAAATAAACCAAGGTAAATATTTGAAGTTTAACCTTCTTATGTTTCCTTTGACGTTTTGGTTGAACTAAAGGGAAGGGCTTGGCCTGTAGGTATAGGTCAGTGGTAGCACACTTGCCTACCAAATGTGAAGCCCTTGGTTCCATCCACAGCACATAAAAAGAGGACAGAGAAGGAGATGCAAAACAAATGTGCCAAAATGTTAAAAATTGGTCATTTTCTATGTCTGTTCTATTGGTCAATTTCTATGTACTGTATTACTTTTGCAGGTTTTCTAAAGTTCAAATAAAAAGACACCACGGATTTTAAAAAACCATAAACTACACGATTACTTTTTGATTAATGTATCTATCTGGCTCTGAAATTATTTTAACAACAGTAACATGTATTGTTTACATTCCAGACTTGGCAGTGTCATAACAAAACAGCCAATGATTTTGTCTTTGTTAGTTCCTCATCTTTGATAGCTACAGCTGGTCTTTCAACTGACAATAGGTAAGAGATGATAGCTGAAACTAAAATATGTGTATGTATAGCTTAATATTTTTTATTGCCTTATGTACTTGTGTCTCAATTTTTCAGATATTTTTATTATAAATTCTTGGGGGTTTTTTTAACAGAAAACATTTATGGTTTTCTAATTGTAAATCTAGAAAAATTCTGGTGCCATTAAAGCAAAGTCCATTTCCTCTATACTTTTATAGGGGAAGGGGATTTGGGTGTTTGTGAAATGATTGTTTCTCTGTATGCTTCCTGTGTATTCAGAAAACCTAAAACAAGGAAATAGTATTTATTGGCCATGTTATTGTTAGTCTTTATTATGCCCTCTTAGGTACAGAACAGTTCCAAAATAAGAAAACAGGAAACTCAGAAAGACCTTTTAGTTGTACAATAGCTGATCAGTAGCAGCCCCATCCCTACCCCCATCTACCGCCAAAAAAAGTTGTTTGCAAGAAACTGTTTCTTCTCCTCCCCCATCTCATCATTCGAAACAACTGACTTCTGAGATCAAGACACACTGAGGTTGTTGAGCTTTCTGTATTTAATCTGTAAGACCTCAGTTTACACTGGAAACCAATTTTAGACTGTGGAGGGTTTTTTCAACCTATATTCCATAAAACTTCCTTGCATATATTGATTCATTCTAATAGTAGAAGTAAGCTTTCTTTGTGTTTAAGAAAATGTGGTGCTTTGTGCCCCTTGTGTCCAGTCATTGCAAGTACTTTATTACAGAAGAGGTGATACAGAGTGTCATGTCAGCACTCAGCCTTCACTTCTGTTGTTTGTAAATACATGTTAATCTAAAGTTACTCCATTTTATAAACAGTTGTTTCTAATTTTTGTATAAAAGTCATGTATAAACTTGTTACTTGTGTTTGATCTTTTGTAAATTTAAGAACTTTCTTTGAAAGCAAGACTCGAATATTATGACATTATATGAACATTTTTTATAACTTTTTGTGTCACTCAAAAAAATCTTTTTTTCCAGAAACATATGTTTGTGGGATACACTTGTAGCACCCTCAAATAGTTTAGTCCATGGTAAGTTTTAAAAACATTTTATAAATTTGGGGAGTCAAAAAATTCATAAACTAAAAGTGATTTTAAATAAATTTATTTTAAATAACATATTTATCAGGCTGTGAGATTTGTTTTGCCCACGATGGCAGTTTGAAAACAAAAAGATATACCTAATTAACCTCTTTCTATAATTTGAAATTTTAAAAATATTACTATTTACAATAGGATCCAGAATAAGGAAGTATTGAGACATAAGTGTAACAAGGTCTCTGCAGAAAATTACAAATATGATTAAAGAAATGAAAGAAGATCTAAATTAATTTATATTCCATATTCACATATTTGAAGATTCAGTAATATAAAGATGTCATTTCCTCCAAACTTTGTAGTCTTAATCAAAATCCCAGCAAAGTACTTTGTAAATATCAACAAGTTAATTCTAAAGTTTATAGTATGAAAAAACAAAGGACCAACAAAATATTGAAGAAAAACAAATTCAGAGGACTCAACATTAACTGATTTCAAAACTTACTGTAAAGCTACAGCCATTAAGACATTGGGACATTAACTTAAAAATAGACACACAAATCATGGAACAGAATAGAGAGCCCAATTTCAACTTATGCATCTATAGTAAATCAACCTTTGGTCCATTCAGTGAAGAAAGAGTACTCATTTCAACAAATAGTGCTAGATGAATTGAATATTGACCTTTTTTTAAAATGTAGATATAAATCTCACTTTTCACAAAATTTAACTCAAAATGCTTTATAAATAAGCATTCTTCATTGTTTGATGTCCAGTGTCTATAATTGTTTCCTATATTTCATGTTTTTAACATTCAGCTTTTACCTGCCATGATAGTGGAGCCACAGTCTTAGCGTATGCTCCCAAACATCAATTGCTAATATCAGGTGGCAGAAAAGGATTCACATGTGCATTCGATCTTCTCCAACGACAGCAGAGGCAGCTTTTTCAGAGCCACGATTCCCCTGTTAAAGCCATTGCTATCGATTCAACTGAAGAGTATTTTGTCACTGGATCTGCAGAAGGCAATATAAAGGTATCTACAAAATAAAAAACTTTAGTCTGTTTAAATAATAGTATATTAACTTGGTTCTGGTTATCAGTGCTAATTGATAAAGAAAATGATATTTAATTTAGAGATGTTTTTATTAGTACATCTTTGCAGTACATAATGAGTACATTTATTGCGGGTAGTTGGTACATGTACATGACGTCTTAATTCTTTTTTGTGTTCCCATCCCCTCCCTCACTCCTTCTTCCCTGTATCTCTTGATCACTTTCCCATTTGCAAAAGATCTATCTTCCTGTTTCCTATTATCTGTCTTTTATTCTGCTTTTTAATTTGTTTGTACTTAGTTTCGCATATAAGAGAAACCATGATACTTTTTAAGCCTGTGTATCTGATTTATTTTTCTGTTATTTTTAAATATAATAAATTCTTGCTTAAGAAGTAAACTTTCCATGGATATAAATGGTTTTAGTAAAATTAATCTTGACTCCATATTCTAGGTTGTATAATTTACTGGGTTCACTTTTAAGGTACTAAGAAATATGTTGACATTTTCTTTTATTCCACATTATTCCCTATCTTTTCATATATAAAAACAATATCCAGGGGCTGGGGATTTAGCTCAGTGGTTCCACCGCCTGCCTCGTAAGCACAAGGTCCTGAGTTCTATCCCTGGTACCAAAAAAAAAAAAAACCAAACGATATCCGGTTCCTGATTCAAGAATTCTGAATGTACCTGGATATACTCTATTCTTAGCAGTTCTTTTCAAACTTCATTGTGTTTAACACTTCAGAAGTTTGTTTAAAATGTTAAGCAATTTGTTAATAATGTTAGGAAGCTTATTAAAAATACAGATTGGGCCAGGGATTTAGCTCAGTGGCACCGCACCTGCTTTGCAAGCGCAAGGTCCTGAGTTCAATCTCCGGTACCAAAAAAAGGGGCAGATTACCAGGTCTTAACCCAGAAATACTCTGTTATGAACTCAAATATTCAGGATTCTGCATACCCAGTGGTTTTTATGGAAGGGTCCTGTGGAAATACATAAATCAGTTGAGACTATTTTCTGATATTTTAATGTTTGGGAATTCTGTAGAGTTGAGGGATCCTAGGTTTTTTAGCATTTATTAAGCACTAGTGAGCATATTTAGTGCAACAAGGTGGACCTCTTTGATATAACTGGCCAATTCTTTTGTAATGCTCAGCTATAATTTTTTTTTTGGTACTGGGAATGGAACTGGGGACCTTGAGCTTGCAAGGCAAGCACTGGAACCACTGAGCTAAATCCCTGGCTCTGCTCAGCTATAATTTTGAAAAGGCTTTTCTTAAAATCAAATATATATATAGAGAGAGAGAGAGAATTATTTTTCTTCCATTTGAAGCCACTTATCCGGAATGCCTTTAGTTTAGAATAAGACATAGTTTGATTTAGGCCATCTCTTTAGTTTGTACACTGGTGCCGAGGTTTACTGTTTAATCAAGCAAAAAATTGAAAATATAAAATGAATTCTGAAGCTATTAAATTCATGTACATACAGATAAGTAGAGAAATTTTTTTTCCTAAGTAAACTCAATAAAATCAGGAAATAAATTGGTTTCCCTAAACCTAAAATAGATACCCTAAAAGCATATAAGTGAAAATGCTTATAATTTGCTTTAGAAACAGACACATTTACAAGGGCCAAAAATATAAAATCTTACTAAAATTAAATGTCCCCAAATTTTAATAGTTGACTTTGTCTTGCAGTTAAACATAGCTTTGCCAGGGTAGAGGGCCTCTAGGTCTCACTGCCCTCTTTCCAGCTGTTGTGATCCCTTGGTGAATATTCCATATTACAAAGAAGGCATTACTCCACTGCACAGCTGCCCAGCAGTTCTGCTGAGAGACAAGAAAACCTTGATTGTAGTCCCTGTAATATTACAAGCTTTTGTAGCATTGTACACTTAACTAGATAATCTCATCTCCAATGCAGGGTTAATAATAGCCTTATTCTCTTATTGTATAGATTTTTAAGTATTTAATAATACAAAAGCATTTGGTAAATTGTAACACCATACACAGAATCAAAGTGTTATGATCTTAAGTCTGCACAGATTTTTCTCCATGTTTGTTTAGGCAGGCCTAAATTCATTATTTGAATTCTAAAGGTGATCATCAACCACAATTTTAATTTTGTTCTTAATATTTTTCAGATTTGGAGTCTTGCTACTTTTAGTCTTCTCCATACTTTTATCAATGAACATGCTCGGCAGTCCATTTTTAGGAATATTGGAACTGGAGTGATGCAAATTGAGACAGGACCAACAAACCATATTTTCTCTTGTGGAGCTGATGGAACAATGAAAATGAGAATACTGCCAGATCAGTTCAGCCCCTTAGATGAAGTGTTAAAAAATGATGTGAAATTTATGCTGTAACATTTTTACAAGATGTATAATTTATTACCCTTTTGATGGAAGTGGCCAACAGATATAATATATAGTAATCAGTCTCCCACAAATAAGCTGATGCTTTCTTGTTTTCATAATTACTTATGGAGCTTTGCTCTCATTGATGCACTGATGCCTTAAAAATTAATAAAATCATTCATAATTATATTAAATCACCTAAAGTAGAATTTGTATCTAATGCTGTAATAATACATATGTATAGTATGTTATAATAAGTATGTCATAGTGTTAAAGGAATTTTGTTTTTTTATTGTTGATCAACTTTTCTGCAGATATCTCTGCATGAATTTCTTTAACAATAAAATCACCCTTTAAGCAAAGACACATAATACTCATCACTTAATTCACCACTGACTTCCTTTATCAGACTTAACATATCTGAAAATCTTTCCTCTTAATTAATGATAGATTGGTATTTGAGTAAGAATGAAACAAATATTGAACCTCTCCATTAAACTCATTGGGACTTCAGTGATAAATGAGATAAATAGTTCATTATGTAAAGTTTTCATCAGTTGCCCTTCCAGAACCTAAATTGTGTGTGTGTAAATGTATTTGTATGTATATATGTGTGTGTGTATGTGTATATGTATATATATCTTACACATCTTATTTGAACTTAGTTTGTATATAAATGCAAAAACAAGTTTTTCCATGTGTTTTTGTGCCATAACCACTACTGCCACCAGAATAACAACTTTTTTTGCAAATGTTTTTTATTTAAAAATGTTGAATTCCCATCTTAATTTTCAAATAAATTGCAATAAGGCTTCCAAGATTGTTATTTTTAAGATTCACTGAATCAAATAAGTCTTAATAGCCGGGGATTTAGCTCAGTGGTTCCACCACCTGCCGCACAAGCGCAAGGACCCGAGTTCAATTCCCGGTACCAAAAAAAAAAAGTCTTAATAGGCAATAAAGATTCTGTTTGGCACATATAAGATGCTTAAAAGTAAGCTATGAATTTGACAGAATTCTTGAACATCATTTTCCTTAAATTTTATTTTTATTTCTTATTTTTTAGGTGCTTTTAGTCTCAAAATTCTGACAATCTTACAGCAGTGTTTTTAGAAACAAATGTGAAAACAGTCAAATAGTATTTGCAAATGTAAAATACCCTTCATGTCTATTAATAGAAAATAAATTAAACCTTATATTTTATTACTTTGCCAAAATATTTTATTATAAAATATGACCAAAATATTTAAAATTCACAGTGCTTTTAACTTAAATATGCTATTTCTGTCTGTTTTATGCTATACATTTTCTGATTCAGAATTATAGAAAACTTGATAAATACTTGATTTTAACTAATGAGGCTGGACAAAGGGTGACAAATGTTTAAGGGACAGTTATCTACTATTTAGCTTAAATTTATTTTGTTAATAGGAATTACAAATTAAAGGAACTTTTATGCAATGAGATATGGACAGCTATTATCTTGGAAAAATTAAAGAGTCAAATAAAGCAAAGAAATGAAGGGCTGGAAAATGAATTTTCTAATATCAGGATACTTTGGTCATAAAAATATATTGTTAAAGATTTTGTAAATTGTATTTCATAATTCTACACGTACTGAGAAAGTTTCAGTGGAAACACTGTCACTATGTAGAAAGAGTTTTATATACACAATAACTTGTACCTATAAGTTCTGCAATAGCAATATATGCCTGTTTCGCCATGGAGAAGTCTGTGACATCATTGGAACAATATTATTATTTGATGTAGTTAAGCTTCAATTATTTTTCAGTAATTTTCTCATGAATTAAGATTTAAAAGTCTTGGGCCGGAGATTTAGCTCAGTGGTGCCGCTGCCTGCCTCGCAAGCGCAAGGTCCCGAGTTTAATCCCTGGTACCAGAAAAAAAAAAAAAAAAGATTTAAAAGGCTTAAACATTTTAAACAAGATAGAAAATTTACTATTGTGCTTACTAGAACAAAAGTCATTGGGGATGAACAATTAACCATTTTAATTGAAGGTTTATATGAATAGCCATAAATTATGTAAGCCCATATGTATTTACAGCCAGAGTCATTTTATTTTAAATAATCATGCAGTGACTTTTTTGGCATGCTGTTGTTTTAAGTAATGTTTATGCCACTTTAGTTGATTTTATATGACATTTTACAGTGAAGGATTTCTGTCTTTATATCTGGTTAAAGAAGAGAGGATTGGATAACTTTCTCAATAGCCTGTTCTTTTCTGTAATCTTTTTCACTTAATAGGTAAGTATTAAGAAAGATGGGAGTGAAAATAGGTGAACTGTGTATGTAGATATAAAATGATATACATGTAAATTTTCATTAGCCATATAACTATAGTGACTGGGTACATCAAGATACATCTTTAATTTTTTTTTGAGAAGTGGTGTCATTATAAGAATTTGCAATAAGGGTTTTTCTCAACCAGTGCTATGACAATCCTTTTCATCTTTTTTCTTACCCAATCTTTGCCTTGTTCACTCTTTTTAAAATTTCTTCTTAAAAAAAAATTACAGTTGCAGAAAATTTTCACATTATCTCAGCAGTTGAAACACTACAAAGATACCCATTTAAAGAAAAGCCCAGGGCCAGGGATTTAGCTCAATGGTTCCACCGCCTGCCTCGAAAGTGCAAGGTCCTGAGTTTGATCCCCCCAGTACCAAAAAGAAAAGAAAAGAAAAAGAAAATCCTTATATATACTTGGGCTGGAAATGTTTTTTAACTGGATTAGAAACCCAAACAGACATACTTAACTGAACAAAAAACTTAAATATCATATGGCAGGGGACCACAGTACAAGTTAATAACAAGCAGACTAGAAGAGGTATTTCCTTTTTTTTTTTTTTTTTTCAGTACTGAGGATCAAACCCAGAGGCGAACACATACTAGGCAAGTGCTCGACCTCTGAGCTACATCCTCTCCTTGAGAACAAAGTATTGGTATAGTGATAGAAAATATCTCTGTCTCTTTATACAGAGTACCTTTAAAATAAGCTACTGGAAAAAGGTCAAACTGAATAAGCATTTGCCAGAATAGAGCATCGAAAAAGTCAACAAGCATAAAATATGTTTATCCTCATTAGTGGTTAATGGAATGTTTAAAAAAAGGAAAAGTGTATAGGAAAATAGCACTTTATTGTGCTTTGCAGATAGTGTTTTTTACAAATTGAAGGTTAGTGGCAATTGCATCATGCAGTATGTATTAGTGCCATTTTTTCTGTGTTCTGTTTAATGTCTCTGTCATGTTTTAGTAACATATTCACAATTTTTCCATTATATTGTGATTGGTCATTTTTTTGTGTGTATTACTGTTGTGATTATTTTGGCGAACTATAATTAGAGCCTATACAAGGCTGCAAATTTAATTGATAGATCTCTTTATCTTCACTGCTCTAACTGGCTATTTCCCTGTACCTCTGTCTCCCCTCAGGTATCCCTATTCCCTCAGACACAACAGAATTGAAATTAGGCCTGTTAACCCTACAATGGCCTTTGAACTGTTAAAGTGAAAAGAAGAGTCTCTTGCTTCTTTTATTTATGGGGGGGGGCGCGTGTGCCAGGGATCGAACTCAGGTCCTTGCACTGGTGGGGCAGGCCGTGACAATCCTCAGGCCCAGGGATTTAGCTCAGTGGTTCTGCCACCTGCCTCGAAAGCAGAAGGTCCTGAGTTTGAAACCTGGTACCAAAAATAAAAGCTAGAGATTTTTAAGTTTAATGAGGAAACCATATCAAATGAGATAAGCTAAAAATTAGGCTGTGGCTATGTGTGCCAAACAGCCAAGTTGTAAATGCAAAAGCAAAGTTCTTGAAGGAACTTAAACTAAAAATGCTCCTCCAGGCTGAGTCCTAAGAAAGTAATACAGTCCTATTGCTGATAAGGAGAAAGTTTTAATAGATGATCAAGCCAGCCACAACATTCTGTTGATGAAAGTGTAATCCAGAGGAAGACCCTGATGCACTTCAGTTTTATGAAGGCTCACAGAGGTGATAAAGCTGCCTGAAGTTTGTTCATGAGCTGTGAGGAATCCATTTCTCTAAAAGCAAAGTGCAAACTGAAGCAGCAAGTGCCATGTAGAAGCTAAAGCAAGTTACCTAGAAGATCTTGATAAGACTGATGAACGTGGCTTCACTAAATAGATTTTAAGTCTAGATAAAACAGGCTTAACATTGGAAAAACATGTGATCTAAGATTTTTTCAAGGCAAGAGAGGAGAAACCAGTGCCTGGTTTCAAAGGACAGGCTGATTTTCTTTTAGACGATAATGTAGCTGGTGACATTGACAGTAAGTTGAAGTCAGTATTCATTTGCCATTCTAAAATTCCTACATCCAGGCCAGGGATTTAGCTTAGTGGCACTGTGCCTGTCTTGCAAGTGCAAGGTCCTGAGTTCAATCCTTGGTACAAAAAAATCCTACAGCCCTTAAAAATTAAACAATCTACTCACTCTGCTCTAAAACTGGAACAGTGATGCCTGGATGACAGCACATCTATTTACAACATGATTTACTGAATATTTTAAGTATACTGTTGAGATTCATGGGTCAGGAAAAAGTTTTGCAAAATAGTACTGCTCACTGACAATGCATTTGGCCACTTAGGAGCTGTGATGGAGTTGTATTAATGTTTCCCTGCCTGTTGACACCATATCCATTCTGCTGTCCATGAAGAGAGGAGTGGTTTTGACTTTAAGGTCTTAATAAATATATTTTGCTGTAGATAGTGATTCCTCTAATGGATCTGGGCAAAGTAAATTGAAACTCTTGGGGAAAATGGACTCTTCTAAATGCTGTTAAGAATATTCATGATTCAGGAGATGAGGTTAAAATAATAACATTAATAGGGAGTTTGGAAGAACTTGATTCCAATCATAATGATTGAATTTGTGGGATTTCAAAACTTCAGTGGAGGAAATAATTGCTGAGTGGAAATAATAAGAAAACTGAAATTATAAATGGTGCCTAAGAAGTGACTCAGGACTGGGGATTTAGCTCAGTGGTGCCGATGCCTGCCTCGAAAGCGCAAGGTTCCGAGTTCAATTCCTGGTACCAAAGAAAAAGTGACTCAGAGCAACCTCATGATAGAACCTAACACATGAGTTGTTTCTTAAGAGATAACCATGGTGGTTTCTTGACATGGAATCTACTGGTGATGATGTGAACACTGTTGAAATAAAGGACTTAAGAGTATTACATAAATTTAGTCAATAAAGCAGCAACAGAGTTTGAGAGAGGACTTAAGTATTTTTAAACTTTGCCACTGCTACCTCAACCTTTAGTAACCACTATTAGCAGTCAGCAGCCATTAATATCAAGGAAAGATCCCCCCCATCAGCAAAAAGATCAAAATTTGCAGATGATCATAAGCATTTTTAGCAGTAAATTTTTTTGAAATTTAAGAGTTCCCTTACAGTATATATTTTTCTTTTTATTAGTACATGTTTGGAGTACATAATAGTACACTCATTGTGGGCAATTGATACATACACATAACATTCTAATTCTCCCCTTTCTGCTCCGCCTTCGTCTGCTCACCCCTCCCCTTCATTTTGTTCAATCTGTTAACTCATTTCTTGAATTTTACATTGTAGCAAGTACATCTTTCATTTCTAGAAGTTCCATTTGACTTTTTTTTTGTATTATATTCTTTTATTGGTACATTGTAGGTATACAACACAATTACATTTCTCATTGGGAATTGTACCTTTATATAATGCATCTTGGT